CCTGAGCAACTGTGAGAGCCTCAATATTCCTTCCAATTTTAGCAAGGCAATTTGAAAGAGTGGTGAGAGAGTGAATGAGTATGCATTTTTGTTGTTCCAATATATGAAAGCTATTGTGGACCTCTTTTCGGCAAGCTGCAACAGTTTGTTCTGCAGTCTTGAGGGCCCTTTCCTGATGTCCTAAATGATTATGAACAGCTGCAAGTTCTGTGTGTAGGAAATAAAGTTGGAACTGGAAGACCTCCCCATTGTCTGTCCAATATCTGCGGGATCCAGCCACCACTCCTTTCATAAGGAGTTGAAGCACCTCTTGGTGTCTGTTGATGTGATGAAGAGTGTGGGCCCGAAAGATATAAGGATGCAAGAAGAAGGGCTCTGGACCTGAGACAATGTGTTTTGTCTTTGGTATCAGCCTGATTACATCAGAAAACCTACCCATGTCACACAGGATGAATTGCTGTTGCAATAGCCATTCTTCTGTGGCACTTAAATTGTGTGCATGGGGGCAGGATTCCAGGAATTTGATCACCTGCACAGAGACTTGGAGTGCCTCTTCCAACAATCCAGTTGTCCATAAGTGGGTCAAAATTGACCAGAGTAAATTCTGGAGGACCCAATCCAATCTCTGAATGTCAAGAATCATGGCAAAGTGCTCCATGGTCCCTGTCAGGACTCGTAGCAGGAGCATTTGGTTGGGATTGGAGACAAATGGAAAAACTCTAGTGATTGTGTAGAGGACCCATTGGATTGTGGTTGGGTTGATTGTAACCTGCCGGAAAACAACAATGGCCTGATCAAAGTGGGTGATAAAGATGTTCTCAATCAAGACATCACTATGGTGTCTGGGCACAGTGTAGAAGGCCTTGACTGCATCCTCAATTACACCACCATATGATCCAAAGTTGGTAAGCATTGACTGGGTAACATCCAGCTCAGGTGGTGGATGGTCCAAGGTAGGTTCCAGAAAAACCCGGATGATCTCCATACCAGAAGAGCTTGAACCTGGGGAATGATCTAGCTGGGCAAGATATGCATAGGCATGGAGGAGCCAAAGAAATTGAGATGAAAATTCTGGGTAGATATGAGATAGATCACGAAAGAGAATTACACAGTCTTCAAGCATGCTGAGTGAAAACATTTGTCTCTCAGCTATGATGCAAATTTGATCCAAAAATGAGTCAATGTATTCTTCAGAAGGAGGGTGGAGAAAGACTGGCAATTTGAGGATTGTCTGGAAACCTTGCCTCGATGTTTCATATGATTCCATGTGCCAATTGAGTGAGGACAGAGCCTTGGCGAAATTGAAAACAGCCATATAAGCCCATACTGCTTTGAATTCATCCACCAAGGATGATGGTCCTGAACTAGATTTGATTATCTGTTCAAAAATGGACTGAGACAGGGCAACAGCATCTTGGGCTGTAGACAATGCAGTTATCTTCTGACCAGTCTCTAGGAGATTCCGTGCATGAGTGGTTAATGCTGTCAACTGGCCTATCTGATTGTCCACTTCTGGCAGACTTTCAGATATATGATACCAGAGATCAAGAGATTGTTGGGAGGCTTTGAGGGCAGAGTGGAATTGGAGTTGCCGCTGGTGCGCAATTGAAAGTAGGCCGAGTGCATTTGCCATGCTCGGTGAAGTCAGAGAAGAACCATCCAGTGTATGAAGAATCCGGATTTTCAGGCCCTCCCAGGCTAAGCTTTCTGAAGTGAATCCAATGCTCATGAGAAATACCCCAAGGTTTACCACAATATTTTGTATGGACTCCAGAGGTATCCAAACATTGTGGCTTTCATTGAGTTTCACAATAGCACCTAAGATCTGATGCAGTACATGCAGAGGTGTGGATTTCAGGAACACCGGCTGAAAAGGCTTGGACTCCAAAGAGGTGCATGCAAGATCAATCTGCCACTAGTCAAAAAATGTTCAAGTAAATTGATGAGGTGCATGGTCTGCACAGACAGATATTGAGATTCTAGACTTGCGTGGGTTGGATCCTTGAAGGCAATCAATCTGTGTTCACGTAAAACATAAAAACACCTACAGATGATATTATTTGAATCACTTGATCTGTCTTATTCCGACCAAATTCGGTCTCGAGCAGCATCTGAGCCATCATGCCTTCAATTCTCCGCAGTTTAATTTGATTTTCCACATTGTTCACAATCAGTCTTTGTTCTAAGCGCAAAGTTGTTTGCACCGCTTGAGCAGATGTTTGCTCAATACGAGCAGTAGATAATGCCTATATAAAATGTAACCCTAGAGTCCGAGACAATCAAGGTGCACTCTCACCGTGAATTGAAGGTAACACTTGTTCACATGTTCCTTTAGACCTCTGATTTTCTTCTCAAGATCATCACGCTTCACCCAGGCCTTGAATTGAGAGCCAACAGCCCGAAAGCCAGGGAGCTGTACATTGGAGATTTTGCGGCATTTGGCGTGAACATGGAGCATCTCTCTGAGTTTGGCGTGAATAAGGATAAAACCAGAACAAGAAAACTCACATCTTCAGATTCTCCAGAGCACCCAACAACTCCGGTCCTTGGAATGTGTCCTCGCGCCCACAGGTAAGATTGGCGAGGCCATAGAGGGTACGCAGGACATCCTCGGTGAGCTCTCGAATTTGGCGTCGATTCTCGCCGACCTAGATTCTTCTGAGTCAACTCTATTTTCGGGCCAAGAAATTTCTCACCTTTTCGATGGATTGACGAATACTTTCACCAACTTCGATGAGGTCCTTAATAAAGGTTGCGAGTGTGATAAAATTTGTGGTGAAAGTTATTGGGTCCATCTTTCAAGGCGCCTTCAAGTCGATGGTAGTGAACAAGGAGCCGTCGTGAGCATTGACAAGGATCACTGCTTCGAAGCACAGCCAATAGTCTCGATCGATATCAGTGCACATGGTAAAAATACTGCCCATATAGGAAACCGCATATCTTCATTCCCCCAACCCGGAGAGACCCCGACAACCGAGATATCATGGCTGACAAGAAGTTCGTGCCGCCGACTCCCGACTCCCGAGTTCTTGAATAATGAACACTCCGCGGCCCCTCACAGATAGGCTTGGGGAAAACACTCTTCTCGGCATCGAGAAATAACACGGACAATATTTATCCAGCCGCGAGTCGTACAGAAAGAGACTTTCGAATGTCGTCCGGTGGGCCAAATTCGGGTTAGTCACCTAGTATACTTAACCAAGCTTCAACAGAAAAATTCAGGGCCCATCCTGCGAAAAGTGGTCCTTCGCATCTCACGACACCTTGAATTTTGAATCTGCGCCTCGCCGCGCGCGGACTCGGACAACACGCCAGATAAAAGTCGCCACCGGGTGACCTAAAGAGGTAATTTGAGCAAAATGTGTCTTCCCTCGACGTCCCTGAACAAGCTGGCAAGGCTTGGTTATCGGCGATTCCAAAGCAAAAGCGTGCGTTTACGCTTTGGCGCTCCTCTACCGGCTGGTCTTCTCCTGTTTATCGTTCGGAATGACCGCTCTGGCGCGCCTTCGAAGGACTGTATGGGCACTAATTCTGCGCCCCACCGCGAGCTCGTATAAAGGCCTTCACACCCTCAATCTGTGAAGGACACCTCGGCCGCGTCCCAATGCGCTCCATTTCCTCCAATGCTCTACCCCGGCGCGACATTTACGCGTCCATTCCTCCTGCGCATCCTGGCTCCATTTCCAGCGTGGCATCCCTCCGCACCGAGCCCGCAGACGCCTATTCCCAGTTCAAGCACGTCACACGTTCCGACGAGCTCTACGAAAAGTAGGAGAGCACATTTCAGTGATTCGACGAAAAGGCTGTCCACCCTTCTTGCTTCGTGACTGAAATTAAACTTGAGATTTGGAAGGAGACCAACGGGTTCATGTGGCTCGGCTTCGAGCGCCTTACGTGTGTGCCGATTCAGACATGGTGAAGGACGGCATGCTCACCGAGGAGAGAAGCAGTGGCTCAAGGTTTGTTTCTGTTCGCTTTCGGCGCACCGAAAACTCGTTGATGATATCGTTTTGCGCTACGCAGGACCATGACCAGCAGTGTTACCAGATCCTCGCCCCGCCGATTAAAGACAACAGCGGGCGATGAAGTGGCTCGAGCGCGAGGCGGTTCGCAGGATTGGCATTGTGACGGATCAAGTGGGACTGACCGCGGTTTCCCTATGTAGGTAATTTTCTGTGTAGGGACCTTTTGCAGCCGTGGCCAAATGGATTGTGCGCGAAGCCAGGATGCGCGACCAACGCGCGACGAAAGAGTCGGAAGCACAGCCACATCCTTCCTTTCTTGGAACTGTGACTTGTAATTTTCGACCACGATGTCCTCACCATTCGCCTCGAAACTGGGCACCAATTACTGTCCTTTAGATGACGAGGTCCTAGAAACTCGAACCCTCCTCGTCGAACCATTGTCCCGTTTACAAAGCGTGGACGATCGAAACGCTGAATTGCCGAATGCTATATTGACGACTCCGAGTCGGACCTGGAGGTGGAACGAGCCACAGTCAGGGCTTATGTGGACGCACACAGGGCTTTAATCTCTCCCATCAGGCGATTGCCGTCGGTTATACTGCAAGGAATATTCGTGGCTTGTCTCTTCACGCACTGGAACTGCGCAAGTTTCCCTGTGCTGCTTGGACGCATTTGCAGCCTGTGGAGAACCTTATCTCTCTCAATACCCCGCCTTTGGACCCACCTCCGTATCGACGAGCCATTTCCAGCGGACTCCGCTTCTCTCAGCGAGCAGCAGCTTGCGAAGCGGATCGAGGGCACCAAGACTTGGTTGGGGCGGTCAGGCCAATGTCCTTTGTCAATATCGCTATGGGGCCGTAGTTCCTCTGGCCCTGCCCCATCCGATTGCTCCGGCACTACCATGATTTTACAATCTCCCACACGCCTCCCCCACTATGACATTGCCTTAAAAGGTAAATCTAATCTAATCGGTGCACGTGCAGGGTCTCGAACAGCCCGGTCAGGTCTACACTGATCTTAAACCTTGGTTGCCTTGGTGGAATAGTGTAGTGGTTAATGGTGTCATTCGGTTAATTTGCAGCCAACGTGGGTTCGATTTCCGCGTCTATCACATTTTAGCTTTTGGTTGTACATTTTTATTCATTTTGATTTTGACAAAATTTCAAAGATGTTCACTTACTCATCTTCAATCCTGTTAATATATGGCTCCTTTCTTTGGACTCAATCAGTGGAATTTGCTTTCTACAGACCAATACTTAGCTGGCCAAACTAATGTTAATTTTTGTATGAAGACAGTGATATATTCTCAGTTTATGGAATGAGCTAATTAACTATACTATACCACTTACAGACTGTGCTGCAATTCGTGCCTTAAAGTTAAAGGTTGCGTCGCTATGATTTTGTGTCAACACGTGGCGACACGTGGTCTCACGTGGTGTCATAGTGGGGGAGGCCAAGGGGGTTTGATTTTACAGGCCCTTATTCCATTCGCACACCGCTGGCTGGATATTTCGCTAAGGGTGCCTTTCTCTGCCCTCAACAGTCTGACCAACATCGCCGAGGAGCATTTACCTATGCTCAAGACACTCCATATAAATGAAATTGCCGTGGAGGAATTGCATGAGCCCATTAATTGGGGCTCTTTCGGGCTCCTTCGTGGTCCCGATATTTCCAGTTTCACGTTCTTCGGAACCAATACATTCTCCAGATTCAATATCGACCCCCAAGCCTTCCCGTTGCGATGGGACCAGTTGGTGTCGCTCTGCATTACAGGCGACGGATGGGCCTACCCGTTGGGTATCACCAGTGATATGGCCCTCGCTATCTTCTCCAGATGTCCTCACCTTCACAACTGTCGCTTGCTGGTGAATGATGAGTCTGCAGTCGAAATACCTCATGGAACCATACTCGAGCTTCCATGTCTCCGTTGGCTCCACATCGTCAGCGCCAACATTCCCGTTAACAGACAGAGAGGGTTGTTCAGCCGCCTTTTGTTACCCGAGTTGTGGCACCTTGGCCTGCATCTCATCCATGGCTTTGGGGCGAGCGGCAATATCCAATCCTTTTTCCCTCTCTTCACCATCTGCCCACGCCTGGAAAGTGCGCAACTCAATTTCGAGATCTTCGACAAGCAGTCTCTCATGGATCTTCTCCGCACATTGCCGCCTATCATACAACGGTTTGAACTTAAGTGCACCAGCTACAGTTTTGGATGTGTCAATGGGACGCGACACTCAATGGGATGGTCAAGTTCTCCCTATTCCCCTCTGTTGTTTGAGGCAAAACTTTGTCATATATGAGATTTACTTATATAACTTGGGTCCCGACTGTCTCTGGGGCAATATGAGGTTGGGAAAAGGTGCACAGAGACAAATGATGAGGGCATGTTTGGCGGTGTTTTTCGTAGACACTCAATGGGATGGTCGATTTTTCTTCAATCTCGATCAGTTTGAATTGCCTGGCCCTAAGATTTTGATAAATTCGAGATGTACTCATTCGAAACACTTTGGTTTCCTCAGAAATGTTCTAAATTTGTGGAATCATCTTAGCAAGATCAAATGATTTGGTTGTCCCATTGACCCATCCAAAACTGTACGATGATGGTGTGGAGACAAGTATCATCGATGCCGATGTACTCGGGGTTCTCACCCCAGCTACGTTTAGCTGCCCGCTCCTCCGAGAACTTCAACTCAACTCATGTTACGCCTTGTCCGATCAGGCACTCCTGCTTTTCATCATAGCTCGGATGGCCGTTAAACCACCCACGCTACGCCGTGTTCAGGTGAATTTCACCCGGGAGATCCAGTCGGATATTCGACCTGATATCCAGCCGTTCCTGGACGCCGGCCTCGAACTCGACGCGACGTATTTTTAATACGCCTGCAACGGAGGTGTCTCCTTCGGGTAGGGCGGATTATTACCAGACCTCTGCCACATAAAATATGCCAGTCAGTACTAGTAGCAGGAACCTGTGCTTTCAAGTTAATCTATGTTTTGGCTTCCAATGGTTTCGACCGTGCGCATTGGACACCGCTCCGCCTGACAATACCGCCGAATAGCTATCCCTCGCTACAACAGTACTGGACGCACAAAGACGTGCCAATTATCCAGTGCTACGAGGAATAAGTCCAAGCCGTTTCCCTCTCGCATGTGGTAACGATGTCCGAAGGAGACATCAAGGAGTACATGTACGTCGAGCTGGGTTATGATCATAGCAAGAAGGATAAAAATGCATAGGCAGAATTAAAGAGGCGTACTGAAAATAATTACAGTGCGTACGATAGGGATTTATCGACGAATGACGAACACTTGACCGCGCACAACGATCCACACCACTCATTCATCGACCATCTCCTGCGGAACATGGATCCCGTGGAACCCAAAGCCCACAACGCCATCCACGCTCGCGCGCCCCATCTCCTGCATCGTCTCCGCATCCAGCACCAGCAAATAGCTCTTCCCCTCCGTCCCGTCCAACACGACCGACAGCAAGCACCCGCCGTCCTCCCTGTCGCTCCGCGCCGGGTCCGCGACGAAGATCGGCTCGCTCGGCGTCTGCCCGTGCACGCACCACGTCGTGTACGTCCGGTTCCGCACGTCCCACTTCACCAGCCCGTCGACGAAGGTGCTCCTCGTCGCGGTGTCGATGGTGCCGTACGCGAAGCGGTAGTCGCGCGTGCGGCGCGTGGGGTTGATGCTCGGCAGCTCGGGCGCGTAGCCCTGGGGGCCGGAGAAGAGCAGCTCGCCCTTGACGGCTTTAAGCGACGATACCTTGTTGGGTTTAGAGAGGGGAACGCCAGGGAGGCGGTAGCGGCGGTATATGCCGCGGGTGGACGCGTCCGTGGCGAAGCTCTGCGCGGCGGGCGAGTCCGAGAGGAGATTGTCGATGTAGAAGCGGTTGATCGTGTCGAGCCCGTCGTATGCGATCAGGTCGGCCACGAGGTCGACGGTGTCGCCCTTGTCGCTAGTGGCCTCCTCGAAGGTGTTAATGCTATGGAAACAGAAGAACGCGTCGGTCTCGAAGGTGGCGACGACGCCGCGCCGCGCCGCCGTGCGGTCGACGACAAACCACGTCGCTGGTTTGGAGCGGTCGTATTGCTCCATGGCCTCGACGAGGTTGCGCTTCCAAAGCAGCTGTGCGCCGAATCCCGTATAAAAGGCATTCCACACGCAGAGCACCGCGAAATGCTCCGTTAAAAACATCGAGTGGATGTACGCTGGCCTGTGGCTGAACGTAGCGAGTATATCCGTCTTGCCCGTCCTCGCCGAGACCGTGAAGATGCGGTATATCCCGCCAGTAGGCGGCTTACCCACGTCGAGGTTATAATTGAAGACATCGCCCGTCTCCGGATCCGTAGCCGCGTGCGCACCACTGATCGGGCCCTTGAGCGCTGGATGCAGGACCTTTTGCTCGGCAATGCCCAGTGGCTCGAGCGTGCGCGGGTCAAGCGACTGCACTATGTCGTGGTCGGACTTGTTAAACAGCGTCGTAAGCTTGCTGCTATCCACACCCTTCTCGCTGCGTTTGGCATTCCTGTCCAGCCCCGGGAAGTTCGCGCTCAGATCAACGCCAATGCCCAAGCTGCTCGGCGAGTCCTTGGGCTGCGGGCGGAAGAAACACTGCGCTTTCTGGAAGATCGTCTGGCACGGGTCGCGGTCGGGCCCGAACGTGAACTCGCTGCGCCGCGCCTCGCGCTTGATGCGCTCGACCGCCTTGTCGCACGTCAGGCGCGAGTTGTGCGTAACGGTCACGGAAGGGTTGGCGGCGGTGGGCGGGTGGATCTGGAAGCGGTGCACCTGCGAGAGGTTGTCGAACCAGTGCGACACGCGGTAGACGCGTCGCCCGTCCTTGTCAGCGTGCACGTCGCGCGGACCAAGTCCGTTGCGGTACAAGACGCCGGCCGCATAGGCGGGGATGGTACCGCTTATCGGGAGAGAGACGGGTGTGCGGACTTCCTCGCGCACGTCGAACTAACAGCAGGTATAAGGGAATTGTTGAGATTTAGCTCCAGGTCAGACTCACTCCAGCAGCGTTCGGCCAATCTTTCCAGTGGCTAGCGGTGCTAGGATCTCCAACGCCCATGATTTGATGTTATCCGAGGGGATTGTCGGTTGGAGTCGCCGATGCGAGTGCGGCGTTGTACGCAAGATGCCGCAAGATTGGGGATGAGGCAAGGCCATTATATACCAGGCCAGGAGGTTCGTGATGCTACCCTTGATCTTGATATACTCTAGGCGGCTAGACCAGACACGCGCAGCAGCCAATATACTTGAAATCAACTTTCATGGAAGAAAGTGTAGGACGTTGTGTGCCATGTGTGGTACCAGACTCGCTCCTGCTGCCAGTGGTGGAAAAAGACGCGTCGCCCATGAATATTTGGCCGCTGGCGTACTACCGAAAGCTCGTCAATGAAGGGCTCAATCCTTTCGAAAGTCAATGTGGGCATACGTTCGCACTGGCAAGCTCTCTCGAGCAGAACACAAGGTCCGAGCGAGTGTATTGATTGTTGATTGAGTGTGTCAAGCGTTTGCTCCGACGCGGACTTGACACCTCCGACGGCGTTTCAACCAACCCGACGGAACGACGGTTGGCGCAAGCGATGTCTGCGAAAGCGCCGTGCAGTCTACAAACAAGTCGGAGCCTGCCTTGTTTTCAAGTTCGAAGTGATTGGACCAAACTTCAAAGTATTCCCGATCTACGAGGTCTCGAAACTGGTGGTTTCACTCCTGCCGTTCCAACCTAGACGAAAAACATCGAGCGCAGCAGGAATTTCCTGGCTTCACTGGCAGCGAGTTCAAAAATCTGCGAGAGACCAAGTGAATTCACTAGTATCCCAGGCTGCTGAAAAAGCTCTCGGCGCCATCTGAATATCTGAGGCTAAACGACGGCATTAAGTCGTCTCTCTGCGATGAAAAGCATTACAAGCACCTTTCAATAGTCAGCGGGAAACAGCTCGTTCAACTATCTCAATGAATTGCTGGTTTCCCAGTGGAAGGAACTTGCGCAGTATAGTATTCTTATGGCGAGCAATCGGAAGCCTCCACGGTTTTCCGCCGGTGCTTTATTTGGTTCCCTTTCTTGGTTAGAGCGGTCTGGCCGGTGCTCATTGT